GACAATAAATCCATACACACACTTAACAAAACCACAAAACAAAGGAACATCGATTGTGTTGCTTTGTTTCATCTTGTAATCGCAATGACGTTTTTAACCCAGATCATGAGCTCATACCTCACTGCATGATAAGGACGGCTAAATAGCAAAAGCAACAGTCGATTAGGTATCTTGGCAGTCAAAGAAGTTGTTATAATTGATAACTTATTTTTAACATTTAATAAATAAGTATAACCCACCTGACCGTTCTCTACAGCTTTATACAACTGCATTTTGAATCCGTAGAGAAAAAACCATTCTCTATCCAGTCCATTGTTGCACAAGTCTTTATATTTCTCTTCAGCCTCGTCTCCGAAGGAATCAAACGTTTGATCTGGTTTTATGAGGATGCTTGACGGAGTTTTATAAGCAGATCCTGTCCAAGAATATGTTGAAATATTCAAAGGGTCGTTCTTGTATTCGTGTCTGAATGAAAATGCGTATCCGGATCCAGAGGTCCCGAAATCTATCCCAACCACTAATACTGTATTGTCGGATTCCATTTCTGGTTGTGAATAATTGAATAATTAAATATCGATTTACATTCAGACATGTCATGTCGGTCGTATCGTATTTAGGGGAGCAGTTATATTCAATATATAATGAAAGGTATTGTGGTTTAAAGTTTATGACGAAAGTAAAAAAGGAAGTAGCTTGTATTGATTTATTTTCTAAAAATGAATTAAAATATCTTCGTTTCTGCTGAGGCTTGACTCGTTATGCACTGTTAATAAAACACAATGTTCTATTTTTGCTGCAGCATTACATTGGAGTTGAATCAAAATTATCGATTTGAATATCTTCAGCTTTAACACAATATTTATTTGAATCCTTTTCATGAATATCATAATTGGCAATCTATAGACGGTCGAACTGCTTTCTTGTTGAGTATACCGTATTTTAAGTACAACATTGATTAAAACAAACGATTCTAATGATGTGAGGTAATGAAACACAATGCAGGTGTTTGAAAAGATCTATTGGTAACAATTTATCCTATTTTCATTACGATTACCTCTATTATATTATAATTACAAATTGACGATAATTAAGATGCAATGTTCCTTATTTGTTGTTCGTTTGTTATTTTAACATAAATCAGGCTGTTCGTTTTTCTCTTGTTTCACAATTCTACATGCCAATACTTTGGTTTTCTCTTTTGAATTGTTTCACAATTCTTCATGCCGATGCCTTTTATAGCTTACTAACGAATGTGACCTACATTTGTTTACAACATCGTCCATTGGTATTTGGATATAATATCACAACTCAAACAAAGAGGGTTGGGCGCCCGCTAACCTGTTTAGCCCCGCCACATTCGGTATGTGCCTGTCCAAAGTTAGGAGCCTGTATTCAGTGATTGTCGTTTGTTGCTGTATATCATATTTGTATTTCGTTCATTGTTTTTACATACACCAGGCCGTTAGTTTTCTCGTTTGAATTGTTCTACATTTGTCATTTCGAAGCCTGTTATAGCTGACTATGCGGTATGGGTTTTGCTCATTTTTGAAGACCGTACGGTGACCTATAGTTCTATGTCATTTGGTCTCTGGTAAAAAGTTGGCAATTATACTACATCTTCTTATTTTCATATTAAAAGTAAATTTTAACTTTAGAAATTTTTATTATTATTATGATACGTTTTCTAATTTTGCCTGAATCAATACAGTTTCATCACTTACCGCTTTCATACTAATTTCTAATTTGTTATGACAACTTGGTGGATTTTTACTTTTTGGCTATAATAGAAATAAATCAAGGAAGTTAAATGCAAATGAAATATCAGAGTTATATTTCTTTATACTGATTCAAATCCTTTTGGTTAATTATAAACTATAAGTAATTTAGCATCAAGAAAAATGAAATAAAACTGCCTATCCTTTCATATCAAATTATTTTTTCCCTTTATCAAAGAAACCTGTCTCCAATTCCGTACAATCGGACAAGCTATGAAGCAGATCTTCAACTATATAATTGCGTTGCCAACATTGCTCCTTTATGGAAATAAAAAAAAATCTTTGATAGGATAAGAGATGGAAACCCAAATGTTGTAAAAGGGATTTCATCAATTGCGTTCCATTCTTGTGTAAATGGTGGACCTCCTTCCGTTGAAAAACTATTATGATTAACAACAAGACAGCCATACGGGAAAGATAAAAACAAAACGTCCATCGCATATGATAGGAAAGAATCACAAGGTCGTCAATTCCCTTGAGAAATGAAGTTTTAGTTGTTATAGGCTTTCAATATCTGCGAGTCCTCGTAGATCGGTTCTTTGTGACTTTCGTTTTTATGCAATGTTTTTGTGCTTCGATAAGTCAAGCCATTTCCATCTGATTTTTAGTTTGTTCTAATGTTGTGCTGTTACACCACTGTCCCAGGTTAGGAGGGATGGTTGATTTCTCACAAAGATGCTTAACCCCGTCACAATTAATATGTGACTGTCCCAAGCCAGGAGACTGTCATTCAGTGGGTTTTGTTGGTTGCGGTCTGTCAGATTTGTTTTTCCATTAATGTTTTGTCATGAATAAGCCCGTTTATTTTTTCGTTTGAATTGAATTATTTCACATTTTGTTATTTCGAGGCCTAAATAGCTGGCTTTACGAAATGGGTTTTGCTCATTGTTGAAGGCCATGCAAACGGTGGCATATATTTGCTTAAATCTGCTTTATTTAGACTATGTTGGATAGTTGTTATATTTGCAATCATGCCACATATCTTATCTTATATTGGTTATACATTGCACTTTTTTATAATTATATTGATGTATTGTATCTAATTTTTGCGCATATGCAACTGTTGCATACTGACGTCTCAAAATTAATTTTAAACAATAATGATATAGGACAAACAACTGTCATTTGCATATCTTTCAATTGAATGTTCAGTACAAAAAATCGAACACTGTTCATGTTCAAGTATCAAAGCTGACAAATGGTCTGCTGCAGTGGTGGATATTTGCAGAAACTATATACATTTCTAAGCTGATTGTCTCACTTAGTGATTAGAACTCACAATATAATCAATTCCAAATTCCATCAATGCGATATGCTTTACACTATAGGTCTCACTCTGAGTTGTCAAAATAGCCATACCCAACTATATCAGTCCTATTCAGGACCGATAACTCTGTCGATAAATATTGGCGGGTTATACAATGTTGAAATGTATGCAATAACATATTTTTGTACAGAAGTTAAAATTTCAATATCGATTTTTTTTAATGTCTTGATTTTGATTAAAACATTGAATTAAAAAGATAAATTACAAAAATCATATGCAATGAAATCTCGTTTAATTTTCTATGAAATAAAAAAAATCTATTAAATATATATATAAAATTTGAATAAGGGTATTTCTTTAAATAAATTATCGTAAAACATTAATATTTGGTTATTTAAAGCAAAAATCAACTTATCAAAGAATTTTTGATAATATTCTTATTTTCTTGAAGTTTTTTATGATATATATTTCTTTGGTAGTGTACACGGGAAAGAGAAAATATTTATTTGTACATTTCAGAAAACTTTTGTTATCACTTAATCTAAACTTTAAAAAACATGTGTACACAGGATGTTAATGTCACTTGATGGCTTTTGGTTTGACACGATTCCTTTACCTGACAATTTGTTGTTATGTAACATTATAACCTAAATCCGATGTGGGACGTAATTTGCCCTCGATTTAAACTGTTTTAAGTAGAATATTTCGCCAGATATTTGTTTAAATATTCTCAGACACTGGTGACGTTTTATAAAGTCTGAGTAGCAGCTGCAAGCTCTTGAATACCGAATGAGTTGGGAAATGTATATCCCATATGCAGGAGAAGTCAGTATATTGCTACTAAGGTGGGGGAAATTGATAATTTCAAAATTAAAATCGTCTCGTTAGTCATAGATTCTGGTACTGAGATGACAGATTATGTCAAATTCGAGGTATAAGTCTAAAAATGAGGCGGAGGAAGCCGTGTCTGTTGTTTCTTTAATTTCTAGTTCTGGAGGATATATTAATGGAACCCAATCAGAAAAGTAATGGAAAGAACATCATCAATATATATCTAAATGTCAAATTAAATGATCTGGCTTCTTTGATCTTCTTGTCTTTGACAAATGTCTGAAGGAACTCCGACTCATATGAAAATAAGAAGAGGTCGGTAAGGAAAGGCGCACAGTTCGTTCCCATAGGAATGCCGACAATTTGTTGAAAAAGTCTACCTCTAAATTCAACAAATATGTTGTCAATAAAAAACTCCAGCATACTGATCACTTGTTCTCTGTGTAGCATATTTTACCTTTTTGTTCACTATTAACAAAATATACCGTATGGTATCCAACGCACAGGCGCCATTAATTCAACTCATCCGAATACGTATTCATGCAACATTTTAGGGGAGATGGGCTGCGCATGTGCTCAGCAGCATGAGGTCAGCATGATAATTCATTAAAAAGAAAAGAATGTCAATATTGAAAAGTAAAACAAGGGAGAAATCAGGAATAACCATTTAGTTGACTGATCCGTCCCACAAAAGATCATTCATATACAGGTATACCGATGATTTACATATATTTTTAACCTATAAAAAGAAATAAAACATATCATGAAAAATCTTCATTATTCGATTGCACGTTCTTGTCTTTCTACTTATTTATAGGTAAGACTATTCTTGGTTAAGTTCATAAAACATGACAAGCATTGTCTGACCAATTTCAAGCATATTAACATCTTCGAGTGACATTTTTATTAATCAAACCTTAATATGAGTTCACTTTAAAGTATTAACATGGTTAATAAAAGGGATTTAAATCATTTTCAACAGATGGAATGAAATAGCACTGAGATAGTTTTGTGAGGGCATACGGATAAATTGTTTGAAAATAAAGCTTTTTGTGTCTGCTTTAGGTAAACTATAATACTTATATATCTTAAATTCCTTCATAAAAAAACACAATGATAAATCGGTATTTCGAAAATTGTATATTTTTTAATATTGCTAAAACTGAATCAATAAATATCAAAATAACTATCGTTTCAACATCAGATGCTTACTATTTATTGGTAAATGTATTATTTTTTAGTCAAAAGTTCCTTTGCCTTATATATCAATAACATAAACGGTACCAATTTTTCTGCACCAGATGCGCATTTGGACAATCAATGTCTCTTCAGTGATGCTCGAGGCCAAAATATTTCAAAATCCAAAGCTTATTAAAAAGATGAAGAGCTATAAACCAAAAAGGACAAAAAAGTATAGCCAAAGCCGGACAAGGGATCAGAGCTTTGCATGAGGGAGATACATTTCTTAATTTCAAGTCATTGCTTCTTAAAAAAGAATACTATAAAATTTAGTCTAAGGTCTGGTATAATAATACGATGAAGTAACATTTTACCTTTACCTTTCTCCCCTTTTTCAATTTTTTTATTCATATATTTATCATTATATAACTTTTTCATTATGATATTTTTAGAAACAACAGTACTCGTAATTGTTTCTTTTGCTCTTTTCCTACATAAATTGCCTGAGGGGGTTGTACACTTCGTTCGAGTAATTTTTTAGAGTTCACTTTAATAATTAATTTACAATGAAAAGTCGTTGAAGTATTGCATTTTATAGTGCATGGAAAGCCACATCTAGATGAAATTTTGTACGAACACAAAAACACCGTCATGACTATGTGCATTTTGAAACATTGAGCAGAATTATTATTGATACGTTTTATCAAAATCAAACATTAAGCATATTCTTAATTAAACAGTATACGCTATGAAATTAAATTCTTAAACATTAAGTCGAATCAGATCATTCGGAAGCCGCGGGATCAAACAATCTTTTCTTCTCTCCTTTGGTGAATCTATAACCTGAAGGTAGAAATTCAAATTTAGTTGAAGTCCTTTCTTTTGTAGTGGCATTTACATAGGTTCCAATCATTTCAGTTCCCGCCACTTCTAGTTCTACCCATCCGAAGACCTGTTCAGGCCACTGTCCTCCAGGTGGATTCGCGTGAATAACGGCATGTTTTTGGCAGCCTTCATCTGTTACAAATTTTGGATCTGGCTTATCAGAAATATATATTTCTGCTCTTAGCGGGTGTGTTCGTCTACATTGAGAATCAGAAGTGACAAAAGTGTCGTTCAGTTCAATTTGTTTAATATCCCCGACCTCAACATCCTCGTCGGCTTTAAAACAAACATGAAACACATGGCGGCACCAGTCTTCTTTATCCCAAGTATATCGTTTGCTTTCAGGATGAACCCCTGTTTTGAACGGAACACTCAAACTAATACCATATGTATAGTTACATACTCTTGATGCAACGATGTTTGGATTATGTCCATATATGACCGCACCTTTAAGAACCGATAGACCTCCATCTACTGGCACAAATATCTCTAAATTTTGAAATGCTTTTTTGACAGCAACTTGTAATACATCAGACTCAGAAAACCCACCAACCATCATTACAGCTGAAACGTTTTCACAGCGTGGATGGTTCAGAACAGATCTGATTTCTTCGATAGTCAAATCACATGATTCCTGGAAGAATGTTTGAAATAAATCTGGTTTTATAAACATTTTATCACGTTTCATGCTTATTTTACCTTTAAAAGTCGACTCGTTAATGACACTATCAATTGAACTATCTACAGAATCGGCTATAAGATCTTTTAGTGAAACAGGAAATCTAGTATTTACAGTTTCTGTACTGTTTAATTTATAAGTCTTCTTCTTACGTTCAAAATCTCTCATCATTTCATTATAATCTGCACCTTGTTCCTTTTTAAATTGTTTCAAAACAGGACCTCCAACAAGCTTTGTGAGAACGATTCTATATTTCTCATTAACCATTTCACCACCCCAAGAGCCTCCACATACTTTGTGAATTATTTTTAATTCCCCATTCGGAGCGACTTCTTGAGTAGAAATGTCCACTGTACCACCTACAATATATTAATTAAAATATGATACGGTTTGGTGTTTTACAGCATGGCCTTCTATGTTTAAAGTTCGTTTTTGAATAGAACATATAAAACACAAAGAAAGTCTAGTTTATAAAGATCTATGTTTTCAATAATATTTGATATTTCAATTTGATAATTCAGCAGTTCTTCACTCTTACTATGACGATATACAGCACAGGTAAATCTCTAACTTGTATCAGAATTATTTTTTTCAATATTCTCGTCTTCTGTGAAAAAGATCTTACCTCCTGCATCTACAACAATGAATTTGGTTCCTGGATCAAAAGTCTTCAGAATTGTCATTTTGTTTTTGCCTAGTAATTTTTCAACTGGTAATAACCTGGCATAAACAGATGCAGCTTCTGGTTCATACACAATGGAAAACATATCCCCATGAATACCAGCCTGAAGGGTAATAAGTTTTATTGTTATTACTTTTTCCATATGTATACCCATATATACTTACCTTAAAAGTTATGTGTGCATTTTGATTATATCTTGATTGTATAACATTATCTATATTAAAACATAAAAGTTATTAGCATGTTGATTTATGATAGTAAGATATTCCATCCTAAAAGTAATGTGCCAACATGTTATTAAAGGGGATTGTCTCGATTTTGTGTGCATGCATCGTTATTTTAACTCACATTGTGCTTTCGTCTTGTGTTATAGATGAAGTTCCTTTTTTCTTAAATGTACGAAATTGATAAAGATTCTTAAGACTTTTGACCGATTTCGATTATCTTGGTATTTTTACAATTACAATTTTCAATGTCAAAAATGTGATTTGCAAAAAGGGCAATGTATGTTTGATTATGACGACAGAGATCAGAAAAAGTACAACGTCCTTCTTTCTACCTTGTCATACCAATTACCCAGTATCAACGAATTTTCTAATGCACAAAAATATCTTCAGATTAAGTATTGAGGTTCAACCTACAATATTTCCATTTGCATCGTTCCTCATAAAAGTAAATCCAGAAAAAAGTAAAATAACAAAAATACCGAACTCCAATGAAAATTCAAAAAGGAAAGTCCCTTATCAAATGGCAAAATAAAAAACTAAAACACATCAAACGAATGGAAAACAACTGTCATATTCCTGACTTGGTACAGGCATTTCCTTATGTAGAAAATTTTGGATTAAACCTGGTTTTATAGCTAGCTAAACCTCTCACTCAGAAGAGCGCTTCGAACGCACGAATTTAATAAAGTGGTATTTTCATCCATTTTCCACAAAAATAAGTTGTTAGATTTGTTTACTAGTATACGGTCAGTAAATATATGAAGAAGTTTTGAAAGTTGAAAGAAAATAATTGTATGTGCATGTCAATGGCATATTTACGCCTTTGTTAAACAAAAACTCTCACGAATGCCAGGAATGGTGAAAACATAACTATATGTACAATACAAATTTAAAATTGTCCAATTTTTATTTACTTTAAACTTTTCTCTCTGTTTTTGTCCTAATGCTGATCTACACATTTTAAGATAAGTGCTACTTCCTATGTCCATATTCATTTAAAACCGAATAAAATATTAGAGGGATCGGATAATATCATCAAATAACCTTTTTATATTTGCCTTATTAGTATTCTACTTAATGAGATTTGTACGAATACTAATAAACACATGAAATATTAATTTAAATGATTTATTGGAAAAGTATAAAGAAAGAATTGAATATACCTATAAAGAAATTCCAAAGTAACCTCGAAAAGCTAGTCAAGAAATATGACGTAATATCCTTCAATAATAAACAGTCGTTATAGAAGCCCAAGCTACATCCGTCGTATGAAATTAAAATTTTGGCAAGAATAAAATGAAATCTTGTAGAAAATGAGAAAAAGAAACTCATTATAACTTTTGGTGTGTTATAGCGATTATCTGAATTTACCTTTAAAAAGAACAACCAAACACCGATAAGTTGAACGCCAAGAATGTACAAATGCTTGAATACTTAAGGGGCTAGTATATGACAAGGTGCAGTAAAAGATAGCCAAATCACACGAAGACATAAGTATACCAACTCATACTGTTAATTTTGAAATAAACTGAATTATTATCACGTGTAAAACATTTAGCTGACATTCAATATTGCAGCAAAAAACGCAGCTATTACTGGCAATATCAGCTTTAAAATGGTGACGTGACATTCTCAGAAATAAGTAATACCCTCATCTTTCAACACTATTTAAGATATATGTATTACATAAACTCAGATCATCACGTCCATGTCATTGTAACCGTACGCCATATTTCATAGGGTCACTATATTGGATTAACATATGGATATAAAGGATTTAAACTACTATCTTCCTGATTAAATATCAACACGCTTTGGAGATAGATATTTTGATACTCACTATTATCTTGGAATTTATTTACTAAGTTTGATTCAATTTGAGTTTTAAGTGGAGAAGTTGAAATCACTCCTTCTTAAATTTTACGGACGCCATCACGAGTTGGTTGACCGTTATAGGATATTTGTTGCACAGATGATGACAGATATTTTCCAATTGTCGTAACCAGAATCCCTTCCTCTATTCCTCGAATGCGACCTACCGAATTAGATTTATCCTCGGTTTTATACTTACATGAGCGACACGTGTGGAGCAGGATCTGCTTACCCTTTCGGAGCACTTGAGATCATCCCCAGTTTTTGGTGGGGTTCATGCTCAGTCTTTAGTTTTCCTATGTTGTGTTTTGTGTACTTTTATTTGTCTGGTGGTCTTTTCATTTTTTAGCCATGGCGTTGTCAGTTTGTTTTCGACTTATTAGTTTTAATATTCATTAAGTATCTTTCGCCTTTCTTTTACTAACTTTGTACAGAAGCTTTTGTTTTTTGTTCTTTCGTGGTCCTGGCATTTTTCAGTTACATAAGCAAGGATCATTAACTTAAACATGCCAGACGAAAAGATATTTCAAAAAATAGTCGGTATTCCACTGAATACTTATTGTGCATCCCTCATGTTTGACTTGTTTTTGTACTCATAGTAAGCAGAATTCAGAATAAATCTTCTCAACAAAAAAAGAAAAAGCATCTTGTCAAGTTGTTTAATTTTACATTAAGGTATACTGCATGGTAATGGCCTGTGCCCGAAAAACATATCATTAAGTGCTTGTATTTCATCTATCCCAGTTAACGGGTCCTTGAGGACAGTACTAAAACTAGAATGTGGGCTACCTATCTGGATCTTTTCCTTGATATTGACATAGATTGACGATTTCAAACTAGGACTTATGACAAATGTGACGTTTGTCAACTTCCCATTTCTTAGCAGAAATATACCTTTTACCCATTCGTTTTTCCTTTACATATCCGAATTGAAACGCGTGAATGTTTACATCATTCAGATGTCGTCAAAAGGAACGTGCTTCTAATGCATAATCTGCTCAAGCAGGATTATGAGGAAGAACAACTGAAATAAACACCCATCACGAATTGAATGACCGATATCGGGACGACGTGTTTGTGTCTCAACTCAGAAGATAGAAAGGTTCGCAGTCTTTAGATGTACCATAATAGTCGTCTAATCTGTAAATATACCGATTATGTCCTTTTCGCCTATTGTGACATTTTGGCTGAGTGTAGATTCGTATGGCGGATGATGTGTGCATAACATGAGATACTTATCCTGTCGATACACCCGATATCGTCCCGTATTGAGTTCTTACCATTTCCTGATTTCTTTATCTTGATATTTATATTCTTTGTGCATTTACAATTTTTGAACACCAGTAAAGTACTGTTGCCTCGATGTTTGAGTCAATGGAAGTTCTTGATAGTCATATTTTGATTTGTATCACAAGCATCATGCCATAAAACCTAGTATGTAATTGCTCGCTTCTTATATCTTACGAGGATCGTTTGCTTGGTTTTTAATTCTTATAACAAGGACACATTTGGTACTCACTTCTTCTGCTGCATCTCTCATGAACTGTTTGCATGCATCATTCCAAATAGCTGGGACTGTGATAACCCAATCTATATCATTTGCATTAACTCCAATATTTCTTTCTTCAAACTGGTCAAGTAAATGTTTTCGGAGGAACTGTATGGCGAGTTTTATAACTAGTTTGGCTGATATAGCTTTACCATTGATATCTGTCATTTCAAAATCTTTTCGAATGTCCTGGAAAGCAATTTATATCATAACTTGAAACTTTGTTCTGATTTGTAAATAATACAAAACATATTTGAACATGAGCAAAATGAGGAAACTGTTTGTAAGCTTTGTGGTGATACAATTCTTGTTATTACTACTAGAACTTCGTGCTTATCTAAAAATTTATACTCTATTCAATCACCATTAAAACTTTGAAATATAACTCTACCTATTAGTGTCTTGAAAAATTCTCTTAAATTTGATTAGATGAATTTAAATATCAATGAAAATGAGATAAACATTGGTGCATACAGTTTTCTTTATATACCCAATGTATTTATATTACTTTCGTTATGTAATGTTGATATAATAGTCTCCCTCAGTCGTGCACAATACATACTATTCAAATGAATGCAATTCCAATTCTGAATTTTGTGTAACTTATGATGAAAACTGAGTTCGATTCAATTGAATTTCAATCATATTCAATAGATTCATAAAGTGCACACAACTTGAATATACACAAACGGTATCTTAACATTTTCTCTTTTGTTTAATAAAACATGAATATAAAGTACAATCGAAACAATACCAAGATACTACTAGCAAAATCAAAAACAATTTAAATGAAAGAACGACCGACTGCATCATAGACTAAAGGAAAGAGACGATTAAACAATTTATTGGTCGTTTAAGTAGTATGAATTTAGAGTTATTTGAATAAACTTTACTCGTAAAACGGGACTAATAGTAACAAGAACGAAATAAAAAAAATCTTTAACTTAACATGACTTATAATATCAAGAGAAGAGAATGTCAATCTTTCTTCTTCATATTGGGTACCTGAATAACAAACAAATCCACCTAAAGTGCGTTAATTTTTTTTCTATTCTCTACCCCACTATTACTCATTCTAGATTGAAGAGTGTCTTCTTAAGGTAGCTGGGGTGTCTTCCTCGATCTTGGAATTTGAAAAGCAGATAACAATCGGTCTAGATCTTAAATGAAATGTGCAAATTTCGAGAATAGTATGTAATTCATGTGTAAGACTTTTCGTGTTAATATAGAAAATTATGTGTTTTATCACAAATTTACAGCTGTATTTCAAAAAAAATATTGTATTACTTATTTTCAACTGTGCCGCATAAGGGAGATAATTCAGATAAAGTAACTTTTATAATAGAATGTGTTATGAATTTACCTATTCTATGATGTAGCAAGAAAACGAGTTTGGTGACCCCACTTTTTCTTTTTCTTATCTGTAAGCATATTATTAGAGCTATCTTCTCATATTTTATCTTAAAATTCTATGGTTTAGTTTTCTTTTTATCACAAAAAATTGGGTTTTCCATGCATAATCTATACAAACTATGACAATTTTGCACAACCTGTAGCTTGAAAAAAAGCCCGGTGACCCATTCTTTTTATTATATTTTTGAAAAAAGCATGACATAAACTACTTTTTGACAAATTATTAAAAAATTCTATGGATTTTAATATAGACCCCCTATCTACCTTAATAAACAAATTTTTTTTTCTGTAAGAATGGTGAACATTTCTTGATTTAAGAACGCCTTGCTTTGCTAATAACTGCATTGACTTTAAAATCAATATAAAGTGGGCTAATTGATAGAAACATCATTATTTCGTACTGGGCGAATTGATATTCCTAAATCAGTCTCATTTCAATGGGTACAAACAGCGTACTTCTGCTTGATTCTGTACTCAAATTAAGAAAAAGGATCCAAATACCTTATGACAATCCAGCAATATTCGTTTATTTCACCTTCAGATATTTCAGTGAGTACTTGCATCTCGTAAATTCATGTGAACTTGAAACAGAAAATCTGCATCATATAAGGCCCTTTTTCTTTATAATGCATGAATGAATGAATGAATGAACATGAATGAGTAAATTAATGAATGAATAAATGAATGAGTGAATTTATTTGCAAAAGCTTATACATGTTATAGCAATCATTATGTTCTTGACGAATTACTGTGAATTGGGCCTATGACAAAAACAAAGATTTGTTTCATCTTCGGATATCTCAATATGTGCACTTCAAATTAGAAACACTACAGAAATTATAAAATATGTTTTTATGTCAGGCTTTTTCTTTATAATGTATGAATTAATAAATGAATGAATAAGCGAACTAATTTGCAAAAAGCATTTAAATGCTATAGTAATCATAACTTTCATTGTAAAATACTGTGACTATGATCTATGTCAAAAAACAAAGATTTCTACTTTTTTTCTGGTAAAATACTGTGTGTCCATATAATATATAGCTTTTTTTTTTATCAAAGCTCATCAGTAGATTTAAGATATGTTTGTTCTCATTATGGAGATTTCATTTAGAGAAGTATCATTATATACAACTCTGTACATGCAGTAATTTTGTTGATTCTGTACTGTGAACACCTTAAACTGATTATGATGTTGTTACAACAGATTTGACAAAAATATATATAGTTTCAACTTGGAACATGACATTTTATAATGGATGTGCTGGATCAAATCAAGAACATGGCACCGAAAGTGTTAACTTCATGTCAGTCATGAATTATTCTATCAGCACAAAATTTTAATTTTCTACTCCTACTATTGCTAACCATTATAACCACTACAATATAGAAGAAATGGTACGAGTTATAAACAACAGGTTCTGTGATCAAAACTCACAAAATGTTACTCCCACCTTTTGCAACGCCCATGATTTAATACAGGAAACCCCCTTGAAAATAAGTTGACCAAATAATGTTCCTCAACTTTGTACTTTAATTTGTAGATGAAACGCGCGTCTGGCTAACACAATTATAAACCTGGTATCTTAAATGAGTTATTTCATACTGCAGGTATACAATGGCATTATATGGTAAAGATTGTGAGAACGTTTCAATAAATTGAAACAAGTGGTTTAGGCGGAGTTGCGGATACAAATTGGGTATCCCAAATAAAGCATTGACAAAGTGCATGCTTTGGTAAGGGAAATCCCTAATATAACTTGGACTAAAACATAAAACAGGATATGCACAATGGCATTATATAGTAAAGATTCTAAGAAAGTTTCGTTAAGTTATTGTAAATGGCTTGGGATGAGTTGCGGATACAAAATCTGTATCCCCAAATAAAGCAAAGACAAAGTCCATGCTTTGGTGAAGGAAAATTCAAATGTACTCCAAAATTATTTCGGACAAAAAAAGCAGGTACACAGTGGCAATATATTTTAAAGATTGTGAGAAATTTCCATAACATTATGATTAGTTAGGGGTTTAGGAGGAAAAATGGAAATAGATATGTACTAAAATGCGCAGATATGACGAAATTTATTCCCCAAAAAAGTTAATTCAAACGCGGTCCCGGTGCAGTTGCGGATACAAAAGGGGGACAGAAATATGAACGTTTATTAAACGGACGTACGGACGGACGAAAGAATATGCGGACGAACGAACTCCCTCATAATAACATCAACTAGATGCTTATTCAGACAATAAACCTCTCTCCAGGTTGACAAGTTAATTTAAATATATACATCCAGCTATATTTAAGGTTTCACGACTTATCTACATATATCTGAGCAAAGTAGATAAGTCCTTATTGATTATCAATGGATAAAATATATAACTAAATAAAATGCTGTCTGGGGTCAGTCATTGGAATCTATATTGATAATATTAATACTTAAAGGATTATAAAATTGTTTACCTTTTCTTCCAACACGGCTCTATACAATTTCATTTTGAAACCCTTCAAATAATACCATGCATTCTGTTCATTTTCTTCACAAATAACCGAGTAGCGGTCTTCTGCATCATGTCCGAAAGACACCAAATTTTTATTTGAGTCAAGCAACATGGCTGACGGAGTCTTATAAAAACTGTCACCGCCGCTTTCTGGGGACCACATTGGTGATGATACATCGATTGGGTTAGCATCGAACTGATGTCGAAAAGAGAAAGCATAACCAGATCCGTGGCTCCCAAAGTCTATTGCTGCAACAACCAATCTTGTTTTGGCTTTTGCCATCCCACTTTTAGTTCCAGTCCCTTAAATTGTAATAGTTTATTTCAGTCTCAAGATAAAATCTACATATGCTACTTGTCACTCAATGAAGTTTTTTTAATTGAAATATACAACATTGAACTTAAGTTTTATCGATTGACACCCCAGTGGATTTAAATTTGTCATATCTGATTATTTGATATACGTAATTACTGGATGTAAAAGGAAATATACTATCAATCTTAACGAATTTCACAAAAATATTTCATACCAAAATATACACATTAGGAATTTTAAGAACAAGAGCCATTTAAAACGTAAGTTAAGTTATGCTACTGTACCTTAAGTTGTAAAGAGTTCTATCCTGACGTCATATGATCATTAGTAGAACAAGGAAGTTGATAACATCGGTGAATGACGAGCTGGAACTTGCTTACAAACATTGGCAGTGGATAATTCTCAGGTAATTATTTGTGTAACTATCTTATACCTAATGCATTGTCGTAACTTTCATTTATACTCTATACTAATTAGTTATCAAAATGTAAAAATTGTCATAGTGTATACATTGTCTAAAATACACCAAAAAAATGGTTTTAACTCGAAGTTTAACGTTTAAGATATATTTATGATCCACTGGAGGGAATAAATTATTAGACTGATAAACCTTTTAAATACTTGTAACATTATAGAAATATGTAACGAATATTTATTATCAGAAACGATATTGAAAATTAAAGCATTTGAAATAACACATATAATTAGATCTATGATTTGATTCATAAAATGAAAACATACACATAATTCTTTATAAATGTAAAACTAAATATCGTCTTGAGTGATTACTGATCGTTCATAAATAAATGAGGGAATTTTTACACCGCAAAGGTACAAATGTTTTATATTCAATAAGCATACAATACATATAAGAAATAAATTATGTCAAAAACAAACAAACAAACGCAATGTGCTACGTTTAACAATAATTTGAATATCGCATGCTACAATTTTCAAAATATGTACTTGAAAATTGTATAAAGAAATTCAGGTTGAATGTGAAAAATCATCCGTGCTTATAAAAAAAATCTTTTTATAATAAGATAGATGAACAAGTATTCTCTCTTGGACCATCAAAATGTAAAATAGCAAAAATACCGAACTCCAAGGAAAATTCAAAACGGAAAGTCCTTTATCAAATGGCAAAATCAAAGCTCAAAACTAAATCAAGCCATATTAATCCCTTGATAAGATACTATTATTAAGGAGCAAAACACGAGGATAGCTTATATTAATCCGCACTGAAAATATCACAAATTAGGAAAAGGTAATGAAAAGGATGTCAATGAGATTATTTCATTTCATTAAGTACTGACACTTAATATTTATATTAGATAAACAAGAAAGATAGTGTATTGCCTTTTCTTCTTTACCGTTGCTTATACTTTTCAAGAGAGCTTGAACATGCAACTCACACCACGATAAACACCGCGTCGTAACGAAGTAGATATTTTCTTAGCCATTATGAATGTAACAAAACTCTTTTTGCACAAACTTGGATAAAGATGCATTGCCATTAATACAAATTATCATGTAAAACATTTCAGCATGAAATTATTTATTTAACCGAAGGAAAACGAATGCATACCGACATATTTCATCGATTACACAAAATTCACATTTTGACATATAATTAAAATCTGTGGAAGTATCACGTCATTATTCTTTGAACGAAACAAGTGCAATATGAAAAGGATATGTTGGGTACACGTTAATGAGGCAGAAAACAAAAACACATAATCAAAAGACATGTAGAGAGCAACACATAGTCGACAACAAAAGACAGGTGTTTATACAATATATCAAGCTCGTCATGAGACCATAAGATGTATGAATGAATTTAACTGAAACAATTTAAGATCAGCAATTAACACAAAGTTCTTCAAATTAAGATATCATTAAGTTAGATAAACGCTGACCAATGACGAGGATAATGTTTTGGTACATGAAAAAGTAGCAGGAGTGCAAGTTTCTGTTTAGACCTTATCCAACCCCTACTAATATCGCTCAGTCGATAAAAAAACGTACATAAAAGAACAAATTGCCTCGTATTTTTCATGTCAGGGCCTTTTATAGACGACTTTACGGTAGGGGTTTTTTCTAATTGCTGAAGGCCATACGGTGGTCTATAACTGCTTAGATCCACTTTAAACTCTGATGGATGGTTGTCTCATTGGCAATCATACCACATCTCTTCAATTTTTATAACAAAATTTAATAAAACAAGGTACAGGAAAAGTACTTTACTCTAAAATAATGGTTTGGTTAAATACATAACACATAACAGCAAATAAGTAACTACTTGTAACGAATAAAATAATGCATGCAGTTACTGAAAGCAAACTCAATCTACTTTAAAATCTGATTAGAAATCATGCCGCCCTACACATAACACTTTACATAGAAGATAGAACACACGGAATATGTATAAAATAACACCAATCAAAACCTAAGGTTAAAGCAATTAAATTAATAGACGTATTTTAATCTAGTATGCTTACTAGTATTCTTAACAATATTTTCGTATTATATATATATTCGTAGTGTCTGTCAATCCATTTCACGCATTCTTTCACGTTCTCCTTTTAAAGTTTTATAACCTGTGGGGAGGAATTCAAACTTCGTTGATATTCGGTCCTTTGTTTCAGCGTTCACGTAAGTGCCTATCATTTCGGTGCCAGCTATTTCAAGTTCTACCCATCCAAAGGCATAAATAGGCCAAATTCCATTTGGGGGATCGATATGAATTTTTGCAAGTAACTTGCATCCTTGGTCTGTTACATACATTGGCTTTTTGTCATCGGAAATGTAAATTTCTACAGTAAAAGGTTCCGTTCTTTTACTTTTGGAATCTTCACTTTCAAAAGTATTATTAACCTGAATCATATCTATATTCCCCACATGAACGTCTTGACCTTCAACAAAATAAACATGAAAAATGTGTTTACACCATTCTTCATTATCCCATCTATAATATTTTTCCCTTCGATGCTCTCCTTTCTTGAAAGGAAGGCTTATACTGACGCCATATGTATAATTACACACTCTAGATGATATTATAGAAGGATCATGACCATAAATTACAGCTCCCTTTAACACAGATAATCCACCTTCAACTGGAATGAACACCTCTAATTCTAACGCTTGTCTAACAGCATTTTGCAACATCGGACATTCTGAAAAACCCCCAACTAACATAACAGCTGATACGTCACGACATCTGTCATGTTTCAAAATATCTTTGATTTCTTTAATTGTCATTGAAATGGAATCACTGTAAAAAGATTGAAATAATTCTCGATCGATGAATAGTTTGTCTCTTTTCACTTTAAGTTTACCATTGAAGCGAGAATTTTCTATTATGTTCGAAATACCACAACCAGTCTTCGATTCCAAAAGCTCTGCTAAGTTTGCTGGAAATCTAGTTGATATAACAGAGTTTTCATTTAATTTGAAGGATTTCTTTGCCGTTTCAAACTGCCTCATCATTTCATTATAATCCAACCCTTGTGTTTGTTTAAATTCCATGAATACATCTCCACCTAGCAGTTTCTTCAGCAATTTGCGATACTCTTGGTTGACCCATTCACCACCCCAGGAACCTCCACATATTTTATGAATTATCTTTAAATGACCATCAGGTAATACTTCTTGGGCAGATATATCAACAGTACCACCTACAAATAATTTTTTACATGTCAACAGTACCACTTAGAAATAATTTATATGTCAACAGTACCACCAACAAATAATTTATATGCCAACTGTATCACTTATAAATAATTTCTATGTCAAATGCACTAGCTTCAAGAAATCGATATGTTTACTGAACCTCCAAAATTGATATCAGCTGAAAACCAACAATAAATTGAAATGTCAAAATACATCTTATTATTCGTTCGCTCTGAAAATAATTAAAACAATTGTTTTAATGTTGATAGAAACATAGATCTTAGTATCTCAAATACTTGTACGTTTTGCCGTCGATGAAGTTTCATATCAAGAAATAATTATGATAATAACTGTATATTGCACTAGACGCACTATTCTATGTATTTATTGTCCGACTTTTCCGAGACCTTTTCGTTAGGACCATAAAAAAATAAAGCTTGTCGTAGAGATTTGTACGCATACGATCCAAAACATATATGGTGCGGCACATATACCAAAATATAAAGGTTTTGAATTATTGTCAATAAAACATTTATCCATAAAGACCAAAAGAGAAAGATGTGAACAATAACAATTGTAATATATACACTAACCACGACCTAAAGATAACAATAACACCCCAAATTTATTCCTTTATCATTCGAATTTTTCACCATCACAGTGCATCAAGAAACACTGAACAACTTAGTATAGCTATTTGTACGTGTGCCGTTTTACGAATACTTGGTTTCGTTTTGTTCTTTTCACGATATTTAGCTTCTTTTTGTGATACATTTTGTTTTTTAGATCACATTTTGAAATATTATTACCTCCAGCATCAACTACTATGATCTTTCTGCCAGGATCAAACGATCTAAGTATAGTTGTTTGATTTTCCCCTACGAATTTGTCTACAGGTATGAGACGCATATATATTGATGCTGCTTCAGGCTCATACACAATGCAAAAATTATCTCCCGCAATTCCAGCCTGAAAGGAAATGAATGTTTAGTGTGTTTATGTTTGAAATACAATAAGAAGGTCACATATATTTTTTGACTGATCAGATGAAGTTCCACGTGCTATAGTCGCACCAAAAGTTGTATTACAAATATTAGATATCGCCCATTAGATAAAGCTTACTTCAGACAATTCTTGAGCTGATCACAGAGGAATTAAGATTAATGAATAATAAATTACCCAATGTTAAGTTCTGCTGGAAATCTGGACACAAAGCTGAACCTCTAATTTTACATTTATGCAAAATTACCCTACAAAATTTTTAAACTAAATCAACACATAGACAATTTGTTTTTAAAGATATATAATAACCTGTGAATACAATTATACTTAGTCTTGATTATTTTTTTTTCACTTTTCACGTATGCTGCGAAGTGGTGGCGAATACTGTTCCCAATAAATGTTTATTATGAAATGATATGCGGGTGTAACATGTCCGTCAGGACTTCTTATTTCTAAGATTCTGAAAGCTTAGATGCAATATAAGTCTACCTTTGTTCAAATCTCATAAATCCATTACGAATATACAGAATATACAAATGAAGATAAGAAATAAAACCGCAAGGAATCGCATTAAATCCTAAAGGATCGAAACCGGGTTCGTCGACTGGGTAAGCTATGCGGAACAGTATTTTAATCTGCTCTTTTCATCTTTTCTGCTTGTGTACTAGGAATGAAGATTTAAGAATTCTTGTACTTTATATTGTTTTGTTTGTTCTTACCCCTTCAGCTGCTTGTCTCATGAATTGTTTACATGCATCATTCCAAATAGCTGGGACCGTTATTACCCATTTAATCAGATCATTATTTACTCCAAGGTTCCTTTTCTTAAACTGGTCAAGCAGATGTTTTTTTAAGAATTCAATTGCTAATCTAAATACTCTCTTTGCTGAAACTTTTTTACCATTCATTTCCTCCATTTTGAAATCATCTCGAATATCCTGTAAAGTATAAAATTACAATTATGATACAAAATGTTCACAATTGTGAATAGTTTTTGTTTTATCTATTGTTCTGTTGAAGGGGTTGATATAATTGTATACGTATTGGGATTTAAACCGTCTTTAATCTACCTTAGTCGTTCTAATGTTTATTGAGTATACGACATTTGAAGTCATTTGGAACTGTTCTTTTGTTAGATATCAAACTTGCTTTGAATTAATGTACGTAAAATAAAAATATCTGCTCTTTCAACTTAATTGCGCAATGAATAGAAAAGTAGTACCTTTCCTAAAACAACGGCTTCATACAGTTTCATTTTAAACTCTTTTAAGTAGTACCATGAATTCTGTTCATTATTTTCACAAATAGTTGAGTACTGGTCTTCAGCATCGTGACCAAAGGCAACAAATTTCTTCTTTGAGTTGAGAAGAATAGAGGAGGGTGCTTTGTATGTAATATCGCCTCCACTCTCTGATGACCAGTAGGGGGTGTTAACATTTATAGGATTGGCTGCAAACTCATAGCGGAAAGAGAATGCATATCCCGAACCATGACTTCCAAAATCGATTGCTGCTACTACTAATACGGGATCATTTACAGTCGCCATAGTTTCTGGAAAGAAGTTAAATTAGACAAATGTTAATATGGAAAAGTTTTGTCTTAAAGTAATAAATATAAACACAATATGTATGAAAATATAACTATTTGAGTATATGTATTTTGAAATCGTTTTTGGTCTTAATATAATTCATTAAATGTTTCATCAAAACACTTACCTGGAAGACGTTCACGTACCTATGAAATTTAATCATTCGCTGGTCTGTAAAATGTAATGAGTATCGATTTGTTGACAAGGAAGAAGTATACAAACCAATTCCTATACGGATCAGGTTCGTGGTAGGCTTTATATTTAAGTTCTTACTTTTTAAATTTTATTTTCTTTTGGTTGACCCTTTTAATTGATTTCAACATTATAATGTTGGTGTTCGTTTTTGAAAATCTGTTTTCAAATATTGATTTTGAGTACATTGAAATAATATCAACTTGTAATAATGTATACGTCATAGTCAAAAAAGATTGCAAATGAGCAATCAAAGTCGAAAAAAAGACGACAAGAAGTCGACAATGTCATGGCAAAGTTTAAATAGACGAATATTCACAAAACCCTACACAGAAAGTTGAGCAATAAAAACGCCTCCAAACCCGAGGGTGACCTCAGGTGGTCAGTTACTTCTTCACTAGGGATACAAATTGTGTTATCCCTGTTATAATTCATTACAGCCTCATTCTCGGTGATATGGTATCATGCAGTAGTGGATGGACAAATGTCTTTTACATTATCCGAAGACATCAGAAATATGTATAAACCATCGGTACCTCTAGATTTTCTCATGCATGATCCGATGTTAAGCATGATTTGAAAATGAATATCAGGACAATGAATAGATGAAAATGTTACATATAGAAAAGCACAAACATGAAAAAATAGAATACCACAAAAAACAATAGAGAAAAAGAAGCAAAAGCAACTCAAAATTGATATAATATGAAAATATGGTGAAAAGACGTATTCGCTGATGCCATAGTGTCATGAGATAGAAGTTCCTTCATGATACAAGACTTAGTTCCAAGTGGAAGACATATTCTGTAATATTTATTCCACTGGAACAAATTTCACAGTATCTGTTCCTTAAAGAATAAAGGGTATATGATATTTGTTTCAACAAGAACAGATATAATGGCATTATTAAGAACAAAGTTTACGCGGAACTTCTGTTAGGCGGAACAAATATACGTTAACATGGGCACCTATAACAGATTTATTCTGTGAGATTCAACCAAAGCATGTTCGCGTTAAACTTTTAAAAATATGTCTTCCATTCAACTGTCGAACTCAATTGGTTCAATAGCTTTCTTGTAATCAGCAATCTTCTAACAAAGAAAACCTGATAGACTAGACAAGTACTGGAATCAATTAGGAGATAAAGACTCTACATCCAAAGCAGACTTAATTGATTATGCTGTATAATGTATTTAAAATTCAACGAAATAAATGCGATCAGCTATAGTTACCAAACTTTTAATTTAGTCTATACAGCAGAACTTGAGGTTAAACGATGATGTTATATTCCTTTCATTCTTCTTCTTCAAGCCCCTGTATTATGTCTTTCTCATACAATTAAAGGAATAAGTCGGTGAGTCTGATTCTCATAGGAAAGGTGACTGCTCGTTAAAGAACATGTTCATCCATACCTGTGTTTAACAAAAAATCAGAGATATAGGCGACGCTATGTCTGTATTGCGTTAATAAGGGCATACTTTAGAAAAAAAGATATGAAAGGTACAGTTACAAGAGAACTTTCGTGCATTAAACTACAGCTTCTTCAACTTTCATTAAAATTGATTCTTATCATTTCATTTTAATAAAACGTTTATAAAATGTTGTATCCTAGACAATACATTTTCAAATATTATGTACTGCATTTCAATTAATGTAAATATATTACAATAAGTATATAATTCGAAGGCGTATCTGACGAAGCAAAATAAGTGCGTTTTAAATTATAAAGAATAACTCGATGAAATAAAGCTTGATATTTTGTACATGGTAATAAAGTTTTACTTTTGTATTTCAGTTATTTATGTGTATTCATCAGAAGCAATTTGGTTGTTAGTTGTTGGTCTGCTCTTGAACATAGGTAAGTATCTGATCAGAATCAGACATGAGTTTGGATTGCACATCTACCCGTATCATGGAAATATCTTAATTAAAACGTGATCGGATATTTGTACGTTTTTTTTTAGCACTGGAAATGTTGTAAACAAATACATTCTACAAGTTTTAATTCAACGGCTAGATCAAGTCATAGTCGTATCGAACAATATGAAAAAAAACACAAAAACAAAAACAATACAAAACAAAAACAGCAAAAAAGCAAAAAAGCAAAAACCAATACTCGTAGTATAACTAGCACAATTGCAAACATCTTTTTTATTTATATTGTGTCATAGATCAAACTTATTCGTTCAGTGTATATTTACTTGTTTTTGTGTATTGTCTTTTTGATCGAGTTAAGCCATTTCAATTGATATTTTATTGTGTGTATTTTTATGTTGTAATGTTATACCACTGTTTCAGGTTAGGGTGAAGGTTGGCGCCTGTTAAAACGTTTAAACCCGCTGCATTTTTATGCACCTGTCCTAAGTCAGGAACCTGTTGTTAAGTGGTTGTCTTTTGTTGGTGTGGTTAAAAAGGGTTTATCGTTTCTCGTTTTTTATATAGATTAGACCGTTGGTTTTCCTGTTTGAATTGTTTTACACAAGTCTTTTGGGGCCCTTTTATAGCTTGCTGTTCGGTGTGAGCCAAGGCTCCGTGTTGAAGGCCGTACTTTGACCTATAATTGTTTACTTTTTACAAATTGTGACTTGGATAGATAGTTGTCTCGTCTCATTGGCACTCATACCACATCTTCTTATTTATAATTATTAAATCAAGATGATAATGACTTGATTGATTGAATGATTGTTGTTTGCTTTTACCTGCAAACTTGGTATGTTAATAGTATGGAATGCACCTAAATTTTTTTTTCAAATAGGAGACTACTCATAAAATATCTAATTTTCTATTATTTTAATGACAGAATCATATAGAAATGAATGGAAATTCATAATGAATTCTAAACGACATTGCTAATTTATTCTAGGTCATGTCTGACCGACAAGATTCGACGTTGGTTGTTGCGATAGATATAGGGACAACCTACAGTGGTTACGCCTTTTCCTTTGGTCACCAATATAAATCCAAACCACTAAATATAACCTCACATAGCTGGCCAGATGGACCATCGTACAAGACACCCACGTGTGTCCTGCTTACAGAAAAGAAGGAGTTCCATTCCTTTGGAAGGGAAGCTGAAAACAAATATATAAGTCTGGCAGAAAATGAGGAACACGAGGATTGGTATTTTGTTACAAGATTTAAGATGTTATTGATGGAAAAAGAGGTATATTGCTCTATCAGTAAATGAATACATTGAAATAGCAATCATTGTTGATTTCGATCTGGTATCGTTAATACTCCTATACTACGATAACATATGGCTCAATTTATTTACAATCATGGAGTCGAATTTACAGAACATTGAGACAATTTCCTATCCTTACGATGGTAGATATTTGAAAACTAATTTGTTTGTTTTGCCAATTTCGTCATTTGTAAATGCACTCCTCCATATGTATTTGTTTAATTTTTCGAATAAGTCCTACGATATTATATGCAAAAGTCATAGTAAAAAATGTATCTGACATCTTTAATTTGGTTTAACAATTTTTACTTATGATACAGATTCCAACACCACAATTCAGGTACAACCATGATGTCTGGAATCGTATGTTACGGTGTAGACCAAACGTGATCGGAACAAATTTCTTTTACCGATAAAGTGTGTGATTGAGTTCATTCAGGGATATAAGGTCGAACATTAGAAAGAAATGTTTTTAGTTTTTTACCATTTTTTTTAATCAGAGTGTGCTGCGCATATTATATATAACCTGTTCTATAACCAAAAAAAAACAAAACATCTGTACTATTATACATAATCAAAAGATAATTCTTTCAATGCTGTTTTTTTTAATTTTGAAATGGGTAAAAACTTGGATGCTTGATTGTGAAAATTCTATTAATATATTGAAAGAACGACGTTTTTCAGGAATTAGATGAAAATACTCTTGCTGAAGATATGGATAAGAAACCTATATCAGCTTTGCTTGTATTTACCGAAGCTATCAAATACTTGAAGAACCATTTACTGAACGATCTTAAAAAACGTAACTTAGACGTTCCTGATAACCAAATAAAATGGGTACTAACAGTTCCCGCTATCTGGTCAGATCCGGCAAAGCAGTTCATGAGAACGTCTGCTGAACGGGTAGGATTTTTCATGAGTATACCTTAGAACCAATAAATTTTGATGGGATTGATATTGACATTTAGTTGTGCGTTTGCAATACACAAATGTACCTCACTCTTGATATACATTAAAAGGATAATTATTATAGGAATCATCAAAAATACTATATATATATACAGTACAACAGACCACATCAACTACCATCACCGAACTCCTCCGCAAAACAGACGAACAAAAATAAACCAAAAACCAACAAATAGCAAATAGTCCCGATTGTTGGGAATATAACTTAGTAATTGTCTTAAATTCGAGAATTATCTTATCTTACGAAATAAACACAAATTGTGCCATTGCTGGATGTACATTCTCGTGATCTAAAAAAAAAAGAACCTGTTACGTTTTTGGTGTAATGTTTTGTTAAAGAAAATTCTATAATTTATAAATCCTAATTTGTGTTCGTGTTCCCAGACGTGAAAAGAATATGTTTCCAAGCAAAAATCTGTGGTACATTCTTAAGAAAGCGTATAAATGTTATGTACTGTAAATTGCATTGATCTATTCGTATTGTCTTAATGTACTATGTAATACATCTAAATAAGTTCTTATAACTCAGCTATGGTTTACATTTTAAGACGCATTGTTTTTATACTTTTCACTATATATTGTTAAGGGTTTAGAATAAAATAAACTTAGAGTCTGAATTGTACATTTGAAAATAAAAAAAAAATCACAGAAATATAGCATTTATATTTGTAATGTACCTTTACAGTTCTTCCAATTTTCGACATTGTATTCATCAGACACAGTTTTACTCAAATTGAACATACAATTGAAAAATAATTGTTCTTTGTAGGCCGGTATATTTCATTCATCTTTAACTCTTGCATATGAACCAGAAGCTGCAGCATTGTATTGTAGACTGTTGCC